AACACCAACAAGGATGACGGTCACTGCTTCTTGCTCGTTAATAGCCGATGAATCTTATGTTATAGTTCTCGTGGATCAGTCCCTCTTTTGCAGTTCCTAGTCGACGGATAGAGGATCAAGCTTTTGACGTTCTTCACTCCCAACTACAAAAAGGAAAGGGTGTTAACAATGCTCATTATTGTCGACTTGGAACTTAGCCACGACAATTTAATCACTAAAACAATTAAAGAAAACAAACCGTATACTCGAAATCCCTGAGATCGGGTAGGCGTGGCTGCATGCTTCAACTTAACCTGAAGGTGTCTATGCTTCTGGTGAGATATTTCATCTTGACACAATTGTTGTCTCTGTCCAACACAGAACAAGATGACAGTTGTCCCAGACTGGAATATTCCACGAGTAACCAGTTCCGTGCCATGTTCAAATGCCACGCCTACTCTGGCTCAGGGATAAGGAGTGTAAATGAAGTCAAGCACGCTGTTACTCGGAGCAGGCAATTTCTTATCAATTGGTACAGCCTGTTCACTGGATAGAAAATAGCCAGAGCCTGTTTTCCACGAACAGATAAAGCGGGCAAGCGAAAACAATTGGTGGAAAACGGACTAGCGCCCGACCTCCCACTCCCTCCCTCCTGTTACGCCCCAGCATCCGCAGCGAACAAGAAGATATTTACTTATGGACCAACTCATGTGAAGGCCACTCGATGTACTGTTCAGCCTTCCAGACAAGTTTGATACGATACTAAGCTACCCCGAAGGCATGGAATCTTTGTCGACGCGGACGCCACCCGATCTGGAAGCTGACTGTAAAACCGTTTGAATCCTTTGGTAGCCACTACATCACATTTGTCCATGGTTGCTAGTCAGTGTGCTGTGCGCTTACCTGCGAGATTGGTGCTTGCCATGTGCGAGGTGGATAGAGCCGCAGCTGTAGAAATTTCTTACTTTCATCAGTAAGTGCGTGTAAATGAAGCTAAAGATGTATTTGTTAGTTAACTGCTGTTCAACGCCAGTGCGCGATTTGAAAGTTATCGCACGAGTGCTGAGCTATGAGCAAAATTCAGACCACTGCGGGGCTCGAGCCCGCAGTTCCCACTTACCGGGCTGCTTGCGTTATCCATCACGCTATCGGGACCGCTTTACCCCTCAGTTCAGTGGTTGTTTGTGCCATCGCCTTCCAGCACTACACGTCTAACGTGATGAGCTGCTTAGCCGATATCGGCAGTGAAAAATTTGTGGTAGTTGGATGCCGTCTGGGACACCACCGCTACCCACAGTGTGTGCCAAACGCGTTGACGCTGAGGTCCCGCTGTGAACAAGATGAATTTCAAGCTGCCTATCGGGGCCAACCACAGTGCACAATCAAACATGAGGTGACAAAAAGCAAAAGACATAGACAAACACGCACGTTTGGCTATGG